CCAATGAGAAAGAGTGGGTGGCACGTCTGGACGCTTACCTGGACACAAGGAATGCCCGGATCGCCTATGAGGAACGAGCTCGAAAAATATGGTAGGAGCAGAGTCCGACACCAAATGCTTACAAGCCCGAAGATGACAGTCAAAAGGACACAGAGTCGGATTGTGTGGCATAAGCACACGAATATGTTGAGACACACAGTGATCCGACCGTGAATGCTCTAATACATGATGCTATAGTCCTCACCACCCCGAAAGATGATGACCAGGATCCAATAGGCCCTTCAGTCCTTGAAAATATGGAAATCAACATGGTCCATGTTCTACCTGTCGAATTTCAGCTGACTGCACACCAACCAAGTTCCTTGGACGGTGACGTGGTCACCGAGGAAGCAACACAAGTTGATTTCGTCACTACTACTGAAGACAAGTCACCAAACGACGACAATAAACTTAAAACAGCCTTGGACATCTTGTTTCCCTATTCTTCCTCAACTGATCTTCAGCATTTAAAATCGTTGTACGTCACGGCCCATATTAAAGGCTACCCAATCTTTAAGGTTTTCGTCGATTACGGAACAACAATCAATATCATGCCTATATTTGTCATGAAAGCATTACGATAATCCAACGACGAACTCATTCCTTCAAGAATAAACATGAGTAGCTTTGTCGGTGACAAGTCTCAGACCAAAGAAGTACTCCCTCTAGAGGTCCACATTGCAGGTCGCAATCACATGACCGCATTTTTTATCGTTGACTCCAAGACCGAATATAATGCTCTGCTTGGTAGGGATTGAATTCATCAAACGAATTGCATTCCTTCTTCTTTAGATCAAGTTCTTATTTTTTTGGGATGGTAAATCAGTTGTGGTCCACCCGGTCGATACTCAACCGTTTGGAACCAACATGATTCAGACCCGCTATTATAATGATCACGTCGGCTATATTACCCTACAGGGTTTTATTGAAGATGGACGGCCGACTCGGATCTCAGTCCAGAAGGCCATCGAGGTAGGCACCAAGATTGTCCACCAGGATTCGACAAGACTTGGTTTGGCCAATTTACTCCCCACCACTGATGATTGTCATCAAAAGCGAGAAGCGTCCAGCCGTGGTTTCATCCATGATGGAACGTCTGTTGGCCCATTGGTATGCTATTTCCAAGCACCCACATTCGGGCATCCACTTAATTGAATTTTTGGCCGAAGAGGATAACGACCCGGTACTATCGTTGGATAAAGTTCAGGCCGTACCAGCCAAGCTCGACGATAGCCGACCCCAAGTTACGAATCCTCTAGAGGAAATAAATGTTGGAACGACCAACGATCCTCGACCATTATTTATTAGTGCATTATTACCCCATGCCATGAAAGTTAAACTCCATCAATTACTTCACGAGTTTAAAGATTGTTTTGCTTGGAGTTATCATGAGATGCCGAGTCTCGATCAGACCCTTGTCGAACATAGATTACGTATCAAACCTAGTTGTAAGCCTTTTCAACAACCTCCTCGATGATTTTCGACCGAAGTACAGTTCGACATAAAAGATGAAATTGTTTGACTGTTAAATGCTAGGTTTATCCGAACTGCTCGATACGTCGAGAGGTTTGCAAATATCATACCGGTGCTCAAGAAAAATAGGGCCCTACGTATTTGCATTGATTTTCGAAATTTGAATCTGGCAACACCCAAGGATGCATATCCCATGCCAATTTCAGATTTGCTAATCGACGCCATGGTTAATCATGACATGCTGTCATTCATAGATGGACATGCCGGTTATAACCAGATATTTATTACCGAGGCTGATGTTTATAAAACTGTTTTTCGCTGCCTGGGGGTACTTGGAACCTACGAGTTGGTAGTCATGCCGTTTGATCTCAAAAACGCTGGTGCCACATATCAACGCGTGATGAATACCATTTTTCATGACCTGATCGGCACTACCATAGAAGTGTATATTGATGACGTCGTGGTCAAATCGAAAAATCGTCGAACGCTTTGCTTGGCTTTATTTGTCGTCGCCTCCAAACTCCACACGATATGTTCCTATCCGTTATAGTGGTCATCACCCAGACAAATGTTATTCGATATATGCTTACTCGGCCAATAATCAAAGGCCGAATCGGGAAATGGACACTGGCACTATCCGAGTTTAGTTTGCAGTACGTCCCAGAAAAAGCCGTCAAAGGACAAGTGCTTGTTGATTTCTTAGCCCATCACCCTTCTCCATATGGGTTCGGAGGCAACGATGTTGAAATCGGAATGGTGGGAGCACGTGACAATTATTGGACAATGTATTTCGATGGTTCTAGTACGTCGACATCAGTCGGCGTGGGGATCGTACTCCAGTCTCCACACCAACACTGCTGGTTCTTTTCCCTCAAGTTGGATTTCGATTGTACCAACAATCAGGCTGCATATGAAGCTATTGTGATCGGCCTTAGCGTACTTTATGATTTGCACGCTACTCGTGTCCTCGTTTTCGACGATTCAGAGCTTGTGATTAACCAACTCAATGGCACTTTTCGATGCATGAGTTGCACTCTGGTGCCCTATCACATGGTTGCCAGTTACTTAGCCAAGTCATTCGACGGTATCACGTTCAATCATATTTCCCGTGGTCGGAACACCGTCGCAGACGAACTCGCTTAGATAGCCTCCGGAATAACTCATGGGGGGCAAGTATGGACCAATGATACCCGTTTTACGGCAATCGTATCCGGCTTTGGTTAATCAACAAGTCCTTCAGCGCGACCAAGTCATTCGTACACGAGTAATGTCCTTACCTTCGTTGGTCGAATGGGAGGATCCTGTATATGTTTGCGCAGTCGAGACGCTACCAAACGACTGGAGAAGGCCAATTATGCAATACCTTGATGATCTTAGAGGCAAACACGATCGAAAGACAAGGGTCCATGCCACAAACTGTCTCGTACCAGAATGAGTAGTATCGAAAAGGCGAGGGTGGTTTATTACTGTTATGCCTCGGCCCGCAAGAAGCCGCCCAAGCAATCATAGAGGTACACGAAAGAATTTACGGAGCCCATCAATCAGGACGCAGGATGCGTTGGCTACTTCGCCGGCACGGTTACTTCTGGCCAATCATATTAAAAGATTGTATTGAGTATGCACGAGGATGCATCCAGTGTCAAATTCATGGACCCATCCAAAGAGCCCCGGCCGAATTACTTCATTCGGTCACCAAACCTTGGTCATTCAAAGGATGGGCAATGGACGTGATCGGTAAAATTACGCCATCTTCTGGAGCAGCATGCATGGATACTCGTGGCATCTGATTATTTCACTAAATGGGTCAAAGCAAAATTATACGCCGAATTAACCTCCAAAGAGGTTTGCGATTTTGTGGAGGAACATATTGTGACCAGATTCGGCATACCAAGAACAATCATGAATGATAATGGCACAATCTTCACAGCCGAAAGGTTCAAAGAGTATACGGCGAACTTAAAAATTCGGCTTGAGCAGTCCACACCATACTATCCACAAGCGAATGGACAAGCCGAAGCGAGTAATAAGGTTTTGATCGGCATTCTCGAAAAAATGATAAAAGAAAGACCTGGCATGTGGCATTTAAAATTGAATGAAGCCTTGTGGGCATACTGGACTTCACCCTGGTCGACAACGGGGACCACCTTATTTGCGTTAACCTATGGACATGACGTGATGGTATCGGTCAAGCTAAGTGTAAATTCTTTACGCGTGATCAGCAGAGTAGTTTGTCCAACGCCGAATACAACTAGGCCATGTTACAAGAGTTAGAAGATTTGGAAGAAGATCGGCTTGACGCTTACAACTTGCTAGTGGCACAAAAGAAAATTACCGAGGGAGCGTATAATCAAAGAGTCAAACAAAAAACGTTCGGTGAGGGGGAGTTAGTTTGGCAAACTGTGCTACCCGTGGGAATTAAAGACCTCAGGTTTGGCAAATGGTCGTCGAATTGGGAAAGACCGTTCATCGTCCATAAAGTCATCGGCAATGGGGCATACCATCTTAGAAATTGAACCTGTTTATTCACATGTTGCCAATTAATGGAGAGTTCTTAAAAAAATACTACCCAGTCACATGGGAGATGCAAGAATAAAAGCGCGTTTCATTTCATTGATAAATCGTTTTACAGTCAAATCATTCTAGGGAAATGAAGGAAGAAGAGTTCCAATAAGGGCCTTCAGCTCCAACCACCTCACCTCGCCCATTATGACCTCGGCCTGCCGGTTCTTCTTGTCCATCTTCAGCTGCTCGACTCACTTCGCATTTGCCGTATATTCAGTTAAACAAGATTTACCGCCCGACTCAAAGTCCCTCGCAAGCTCAGAAGTAATGGCCGACCTTCGTTTTACCAGTTTGGCCATTTGACGGTCGAGGTCGGCCAAGGCTTCCCCTTTCGCCTTCAAAGCATCGATCTTCGAACAAAGAGTGTCTTGGACAGCCATGGCAGCTTTCAAGTCATTATCAGCCCGAAGAGCGTTCTCGAAAACACTAAAGGATTCCCGAACTCGCTCCAAGGCAGACGATGAATGAACGATAGCTTCGATGCTCATTTGACCATCTGCTCAAAGGTCGTTTAGGCATGCACCCAACGAATCGAGACCTTTATGCTCAAGGACTTGTGACGCTGAGAGAGATAAAACTTCTTGCAACCAAACCAGAGCAGCTGAATCGGCAGGAACAATTGTAGTGGCCGAAGGACCAGCCGCTCCAGAAATGCTTGACAAGAGAGCATTAAACTCGACTTCCTATGAAGGCTGCACATAAAAATCATTTTAAGCACAAGGAAATCACGAAAGCATATAGCAAGAAGGTTTTTGTTTTAAACCTGCCGATAGGAGACTTCGGCCATGTCTTCGGGTTCGTTGCTCGAACCTAAAGAACTTAATGGCCAAGCCCAATGTCTTAAACTACTTCTCAGTTCACGCGGCTAATGGAAGTTATCTACGTTTGAGGGCCACTAAGACGGCCAAGAAATATAGATAACACCCTTCGGCGCGTAGAATTTTCGATGAAAATAATGGGTGGGCACCTGACATTTAATATTTTCTCGGTTTAGACATGTTATAACAAATTGACAATAGAAAGTAATCGAGCCTTACAAAAGTCGAGGTCACTTCTTGAGGAGGGATGCCGAGGTCTTCATCCTGAGGGTGAAGTGGAGTTTCTGAAGTCACTTCAGGCTTGACCATAGGTTTCTTTCCGCGATCGACCGTCGGAGGATCAACCTGATCGGCCACCTCAACCACTAGGGGAGGATCAACGGAAGAAGCCAGGATTGGTCGAGAGTGATTCACCAACGGAGTCTCGTCGCTCCCATCATCCTTAAACAAAAGTGTTAATAATTGTTTGATACTTAATAAGCAAAGGGAGTTAACAGCGTAATCATACTTCTTCTAAGATGACCACCGAATGCTTCGGATTCCTGGAGAGATCATTTATAATGGAATGAGTCGTTTCCCCCAGAACAGGTACTCCTATTAACCCTAGAGCTGCATGTAAGTCAACCGAGGGTGCAGCAACTAGCTCAACCACTACCCCGGGGACCTCAGGTGTTGGTTGAGCTTGGGATGCCAGGCCGGCCGGAGAAGGCTGATTATCCGTCGAAGTCTGAGCAACAAGAGCGGGAGGAGAGGCACTTGGGGATGTCGTCCCAGTGGTATGGATGGAGATGACATGAATCTCCCGAGCTCCTTCTTCGCCAATTTCTTGACGCATTTTGGGGGACGGGGAGTTTCGCCTGTCGTCTTGGTAATCGAGTGAAGTCGTTTGCTCGGTAAGATTTTTGCGGTGGTCATCTTGAAGGAAAAGGCCAACTTTTTCTTGACCACTATTGGGGCGACCACATCCGTCTGTTTTAGTACCCGACCACCTAAGAAATCAAAGTCCCATTAGTAAAATTACCCAAATGTCTAAAAGAAAAAATATAGGTAGAAATAGGGGTATACCTTGGGGTGCCTCTTTAGATTGAGAGGCGGAGAGTTTCTTGGGTCGGTCACCAAAAATTTTGTTGACTACTTCCTCGACCGAAGTGCCAAAAAAGTAGTGTGTATATTCCTCCCACCAGTCGTCGAAGATATCAGTGCCAAGAGATTCAGGAGAATTTGGTCGAAGACGAAATTTCCTACATCGTTCCTGAAATTCTTTCTCGACGTCTCTACACTCCCTTTCTAAAAAACCAAAGACGCGCCCTAAGGTCAGAAAGGAGTGAGAAGAAAGTAAAGGCAATGGGCAACCTTGGAGGTAACCGAGCTGCAGGACGACAAAGTGGGGGTGATAGACTTCCCAACTCGCCCCGATGAGCATCACAACCAAAGGGAAGGTCGCGAGTTAACACGAACGACCCCCAGTTTTGACGAAAAACGGCATCCTCACTGTCACTCCAAGTCGATGTGGGAAGCCTGGTAGAGCAAGGATATTCTTAACGACGACATATCAAAAATTCATCATCAGAAATGACATCCAGGCCGAATAGGTGTTTGAAGACTTCTTTGGCTCGGTGAGGGGGCACTGGTCGAGAGGCCAATTGAAGGTTGAGCGCTACAGTAGACTGGAGGTTAGAGACTTCTAGCCGAAGCGCGGAGAAATAAACCTGCAACCAGAGTTGGAACACACATAAGGGTCCATTTTGGTGCGGGTCAATCTTATTGAGGGTCGTTTCAGCCAAGCAACGAAGAAGGTTGGCGAGGATGGCGAGGCTGAGTACTAAAGAATGGCCACTAGCCAGGGCTTCCGCTACTGGCATGTTCTCGACTGATGTGAAAATTATGTTGACACACAAATTAAACCCTATTTGTGACAATTGTAGTAATGATGTAAGTAGGGATCGTTCTAACCGGGGATTAACTAGGGGTGCTAATCTAATATAAATTGATTTAAAAACACAAAAACTAAACTTAAAGACTCTAACAAGACTACTATGACTCAAAACAGATTTGAAACACTCAAAACTGCCTAAAACAATCAAATTGACTCAAAAAGAAACTAGAACTTGATTTGGACGAATTGAAAGTGTTTATGACTCCAAATGCTTAAAAAACACAAAATAAAACAGATTTGAATGACTAAGACTCAACAAAATATGAGGGGATTGTGTTTGGACGAAATTAAATTAAATGGGCAGATTATAAAGAAAACAGATTGTAGACAAAATTGTGATGAATCAATGGATGATGGAATAGCTAAGGGGTTCTTCTCCACACATGAAATATATGCAACGTAAATCAATTTCCAGTTATCAATTCAATAAGTTATGAACCTCAACACTCCAAGTTAATTAGGTCCGCTTAAATTAACCTTCAGATTTCCCTAGAATCATTGAATTGGATGAATATGCATCGCAAACAAATTATTCCTAACAAGTTCTCTATATGAACAGCATGATAAAGACACAAGTTAGAATCATTACGTTCGTTGGAATTATAAGCATTGACAAGGCATTCGTAACTATGAAAAGCATGATACTCTTGCCAGGAATCTACTTAACACGATCGTGACTAGCGACTAGGTGAAACAAACTTATATCCGAGCACCAAATTCAAGCATGCAAATTAAGCGTGCACTCTCAATCAACATACAAGAATAAGTTATAAATAAAACGGTTAAGCAAATTGTATTCACGACTTATGCAACGATAACTGGAAGTAATCAACTTATTTCACATATATAATCATGGTTTTGAATTCCCCCTAGCCAAGGGGGGTTTAGTTCCTCATACTCGCAAAGCAAAGATACATAAATTTAGAAATTAAAATCCAAAGAAAGAAAACACCTAGAACGCTCCAACTTGGCAGCAAGCTCATCAACGATTTCTCCTTCCTCCTTGCTGCGGCAGAGAAGTTTAGAACAGGTTTTGGGTGGTATTTATGGTGTAGAATGGATGGGGAATGGTATGGAAAGGTTTAGGGTTGATGGGTGGTGCGGCAAGGGTTGATTTTTGGCAGAAATTTGGAAGAATGGTGGTGGAAGGGTGCGGCAGAGAGCAAGGATCAATTTCTGGCGTGAATTGTGAATTATGAAAGGTGGTATCAGTGGCATAGAATGAAAACACATATATATAGGCACCACAAACCCTAGAGAAATCAGGTTAGGCAATGGGCTAGGGTTTAGGTGCGGCAAAGGGTGAAAATCCACAAGGAATTAGGGTTTTGGCCCACTTAGTTTTAGAAAGGGATTTGTATAACCCAAATCCACAAGGAAAGGGCCTAACAAGTCAGAATCCAAGAGGGATTGGGCTAGGAAGGTGCGGCCTAAGTCTAAGAGGGTAAGGATAGGTCATCTAAAAGCCCAAAGCCAAGAATAGAAACTCTTAAAAATGGAAACCTCCAAGCATAGAAACTTCCAACTTTAGAAACTTTGGTTTCCAATTCTGAATTCTTTGTTCTTCACTTTCATTTCTTCATTTCTTAAGCTCATTTGACCTTCAAACTCGTCCATTCCTTGTGCTCCAAAAGCATACACTCCATTCCAGCTCAATTTTGCTCTAAAATGCTCCATTTTGCACTTCTTTGCATACTTTGTCTCTAAAACCTGAAATTGCACGAAAATGACTTTAAACACTAAAATAACTAAAGAAAAACAACATAAATGCACAAGAACAAGCCCACTAAGTCGCATAAATATGCTCATATCAAATTCCCCCACACTTAGCTTTTGCTAGTCCTCGAGCAAAACAAAGAAACAAAACAAAACAAAAACACAATCTAAACCTTCCAACATTTGCCTCAGGGATTTCCAACGCACATGACATGTTAAAAATCATCACTCCCACAGATTTTAGTCATCTTCACACTTAAGCACATACTTAATCATAGTCACCACTTACTAGTTCACATTTAACCATTTAAAACGATGTTTTGAATGTAGTAACATGCCTTGGAGAATTTGCTCAATTCCTTACTAGATATGCACTCAATTTTCACACAGATTTTCTAACTACACACCCTATACTAGTTATACGTGAGAGGATTGATGTAAATATGAATACGAATGCTCACATATATGTATAACAAAGAAAGCACTTTCCGGAGTTAATAAGCATGTTTATCAATATGATCTCATGAATGGAATGCTACTACTTAGATGCGAGAACCAGTGACACCATATGCTCATACCAATTTTAAACTCCATAAATTGAAACACATAACACTCAAAATTAAAGTCAAGGGTTGTAACGGGGCTTGGGGTATTGGCTAACAAAGAAGGGTAAAGGATAAGCAAACGTTCTTAAAACAATAGTAAGCAAAGCAATGAAATTGACACTTAGAATTCACTTTAAAGTGCAGAAATCAACTTTAAACACAACGGGGAAAGTTCATGCAACACTTAGGATCAAATTCAATGTTTGGACCCTTTCTTCAACAACCAACAACTTAGAGCTCATTTTTATGCTCTTCCAACTCCTTTTCATACTTTTCACACCTTTTTCTTTTTTTTCTTTCTATTTTGCACGATTTTTTTTCTTTCTTTGCCGTGCCTTAATATGAACTTTGGCACACACCCATATCAAGAATCCTTCCCCCACACTTGTTTTCTGCAATACCATGATCAAAAGGAATTCATCTTGAGTCATGCTTAACTACGCTTTAAGAACAAGGGTATGGATAATCCTAATCTAGGCTAGGTAAGGATAATGTGGGTTAACAAACAACATAGGCTAACACAAGGCTCAACGGGGTTAAACCTACAAAAACAAATGCATGGAATGAAGGCTTTTTGGCTATTGTGGTAACTACTAACTTTATCTTAAATATGTGTTATGCAATTCAATAACATGTTTTGAATGAAATTGGCATGAGTTCTAGCATTTGGAACTAAATGATGAAACGCCTTCTAAGTAGTAACCAAGCAAGGAATAATGAGATCATGCAACGACTTTAGAAAACAATAATGCACATATTTTAACTCTCCAAATAAACGTTTAAGCTCAAGTCTCACAAGGTTGTAGCGTTTGTTTGAGTTCCTTCCTTCAAGCATGTTACAAAAACTGATTTTTCCTTTATGATTACATGTGAATTCATAAGTTATAACCACAACCAAGCATAAACCAAAGAGTAAATCAAACTTTCATCCATGTTAATCACTCTTTTTAACAGCCATGCAATTACAAACCGAATCCTCATCATTGTGTTGGAAGGTACCCTAGACACAAACACACAAAACGACTCAAAACACTCCTTTTAGGCTCTTCAAAACACTTTTTTTTCAAATTTTTATGTGATTTTCGGAGTTTTATGTCAACACACACTAAAACACACCAAAACTGCTTAAAAACACTTAAAAACAGCAAGGAACAACATTTGAAATTATGGGTGATAAAACCCTACGAATTTGTAGCAAAACACTTTGGTTACCCCCCCCACACTTAAATCAAACATTGTCCTCAATGTTTCAAGCATAAACTAACACAAATAACCAACAAACAAAGAAAACAGCAACTAAACAATCTAACATGGCAGAAATGAAATAACAACAAAAAGAAGGGTTTAGGAACGCAAATCTGGAATTGGAGTGCTCTCTAGGTCTTCCTTTGTCGAATGCATGGGTTGCCTCCCAAGTAGCGCTTTCTTTAACGTCTTGCAGCCGGACGATGCCACATTGATCAACCTTCATGGGAACCCACGGCATAGTGGGTTGTCTTCTCCATATCATGTTCTACAAAGCTCTCGTAGTAAGGCTTCAAGCGATGCCCATTCACCTTGAACTCTTGACCTGTTTTGAAGCTACGAACTTGGACTGCACCATGAGGAAAAACATTAGTAATAACAAAGGGTCCCATCCAACGTGAACGTAACTTACCTGGAAATAGACGAAGACGAGAATTAAACAACAACACTTTTTGTCCAGCAGAGAAGGACTTGGTGCGAATCATCTTGTCATGAAAGGCCTTCGTATTTTCCTTGTAAAGCCGAGCATTCTCGTAAGCTTCATTCCGTATTTCCTCAAGTTAATTCAATTGAAGCTTACGATGAATTCCCGCCTCATCTACATCCATGTTGAACTTCCTCACAGCCCAATGAGCCTTGTGCTCCAACTCCACCGGTAAGTGACATGGTTTTCCATACACAAGCCAAAACGGGGACATTCTTATGGGTGTTTTGTAGGCGGTCCTATAAGCCCACAACGCATCTTCTAACCTCAAGCTCCAATCTTTTCTTGTTGGTCTAACTGTCTTCTCAAGAATCTGTTTTATCTCCTGATTCGACACCTCGACTTGCCCGCTTGTTTGAGGATGATAGGGTGTCGAAACCCTATGTGTAACGTTGTACTTCTTAAGCAGTGCCTCGATTGTGCGATTACAAAAATGTTAACCTCCATCACTTATAAGGACTCGAGGCATTCCAAACCTAGCAAAAATGTTAGACTTCACAAAATCTGCAACCACTTTGGAATCGTTAGTCCGGGTGGCTTTTGCTTCCACCCATTTGGAAACATAATCCACCGCCAACAAGATATAGAGAAAACCATGTGATGAAGGAAAATGACCCATAAAATCAATTCCCCACACATCAAATATTTCAACAGAAAGTATAGGGTTTTGTGGCATTTGATCCTTAACACTTATATTACCCATTCGTTGACAACGATCACATGTAAGGCAAAATGTCCTAGCATCCCTAAAAATGGTTGGCCAATAAAACCCACATTCTAAGACTTTAAGGGCAGTGCGTTGGGTGCCAAAATGTCCCCCACATGCATAAGAATGACAAAATGCTAGAATTGAATTAAAATCAGAATTTGGCACACATCTTCTAACAATCTGATCTGGGCAATATTTCCATAGATATGGATCATCCCACACATAAAATCTTGCATCATGTTTCAATTTATCACGTTGAACCTTGCTTAGAGTGTTAGGAACTTGCTTAGATACCAAGAAATTGACCAAATCCAAGGGGTACTTACCTCAATGGACAGAAGTTGTTCATCCGGAAACGTATCAGAAATGGGGAGGGACTCTTCTTCACGCACCAATCTGCTTAGGTGGTCAGCCACCACGTTTTCACATCCTTTCTTGTCCCTAATTTCAATATCAAACTCTTGAAGTAAGAGCATCCAACGAATGAGCCTCGGTTTGGCCTCCTTTTTGGTGAAAAGATATTTCAAGGTTGCATGGTCAGTGAAAACAATTACTTTAGTACCAATTAGATATGATCTAAATTTATCTAAAGCAAATACAACCGCCAAAAGTTCTTTTTCGGTTGTGGAATAATTCAATTGAGTATCATTCAAAGTGCGTGAAGCATAATAAATAACATGTGGCTGTTTATTTTTTCTTTGACCCAAAACAGCTCCAAGTGCATAATCCGATGCATCACACATCAATTCAAAGGGAATGGACCAATCCGGGGGAGTTATGATGGGTGCCGTGGTGAGGAGGTCCTTGAGATGCTTGAATGCCTTCTCACATGCCTCGTTGAACTCAAATGACACATCCTTTTGTAGGAGATGGCATAGGGGTTGTGCAATCTTGGAAAAATCCTTGATAAATCGTCTATAGAATCCTGCATGACCAAGAAAAGAACGAACCTCTCTCACCGAAGTAGGAGAGGGTAAGTAGCGTACAAGATCTATTTTAGACTTATCAACCTCAATTCCTCGTTCAGAAATTATATGACCCAAAACAATACCTTGTTTAACCATAAAATGACATTTCTCCCAATTTAACACAAGGTTTGTTTCAACACAACGTTTCAAGATTAAAGTGAGATTATCCAAGCAATTATCAAATGAATTACCAAACACACTAAAATCATCCATGAATGTCTCAATAATTTTCTCAACATAATCAGAAAAGATGCTAACCATACACCTTTGAAACGTGGCAGGGGCATTGCACAAACCGAATGGCATGCGTCGATATGCAAACGTTCCAAAGGGACAAGTAAAAGTGGTCTTTTCTTGATCATCCGGGGCAATAACAATGTGATTATAACCGGAGTATCCATCAAGAAAGCAATAAAAGGAATGACCTGCTAACCTTTCGAGATCCAATATTCAAACTCAGTTAGCTAATCTTACTTCTATTGTTTCACAGATGGCCGAGGGAATGAAGATGCAAGGACCCATGGTGTGTGGCGTATGTTCTATCCAAGGACATGCCTCCGAAAAGTGTCCTCAACTCATCGAGAATGGTGGATGGGAGAGCGCTAATGCCATTGGGTTTCAGAGCCAAAATCAGCCAAGACATGATCCATACTCCAACACGTATAATCCGGGGTGGAGAGACCATCCAAACTTCAAATGGAGAGAGCCACAACAATCCCAACCACAAGGAGGCTTTAGGCAACAACCCCCGGGCTTCTACACCAAACCATACGCACCCCCTCAAATCCAACCACAATCTGCCCCAAATACTTCAGGTAATGCTTTGGATAATGAAACACTTGTTAAGTTACTAACCACTTTGACTCAGGGGCAAGAAAATCAAAACAAAAGGGTGGACCAACTAGAGAAACAAATGGGGCAGATTGCCGAAGTTGTTGGGCAGATTAGAGACCAAGGAAGGCTTCCTAGTTCTACCATTCCAAATCCAAATGGAGGGTTTGAATCAGCCAAAGCAATCACCCTAAGAAGTGGTAAGGAGGTTGGAGCAGGTTCTTCATCAAAAACAGGTCACAAAGAGGATGAAATGTTGCAAATGGAAGAGGAGGGATCAAATCAACCCACGGCAAAGGTGGAAGTACCTTTGCCGCAAGTCTCCAATGCCCTTAAACTGTCCAATTTGTCCAATAAAGGTAAGATGTGTCAAATTCGGTTCCTACTAATGTTTTTCCTTCGAATGTTCCTTTTCCTAGTAGGTTTATGCAAACAAAGAAGGAGGAAGCTGAAAAGGACATCCTTGAGACATTTAGGAAAGTTCAAGTAAACATACCTTTGTTGGATGCAATCAAGCAAGTCCCGAGGTACGCCAAGTTTTTGAAGGAGTTGTGCACCACTAGGAAAAGGATGTCGACTAAGGAAGTGGTAAAGGTAGGTGAGAATGTGTCCGCCATCTTGCAACACAAACTACCTCCCAAATGCAAAGATCCGGTAGTTTTACCATTCCTTGCATCATTGGTAACACTAAATTTGAATCTGCCATGCTTGATTTAGGTGCTTCTATAAATGTTATGCCATATTCCATTTATGCATCTATGAACTTAGGAGTATTGAAAAATGATGGTGTTATCATACAATTGGCCGATAGATCTAATGCCTATCCAAAGGGAGTTTTGGAAGATGTTTTGGTACAAGTTAATCATTTGATATTTCCAGCGGATTTCTATGTTCTTGAGATGGATGAATCGGATCATGCACCCTCGCTGCCCATTCTCCTTGGTAGACCTTTCATGAAAACGGCTCGGACAAAGATTGATGTGTATAATGGAACTTTGTCCATGGAATTTGATGGGGAAGTTGTTAATTTTAAAGCAAATACAACCGCCAAATTTGATGGGGAACTTGGTAGACCCTTCACGCACTTTGAATGATGCTCAATTGAATTATTCCACAACCGAAAAAGAACTTTTGGCGGTTGTATTTGTTTTAGATAAATTTAGATCATATCTATCTTTGTCTGAGCCGTTTTCATGAAAGGTCTACCAAGGAGAATGGGCAGCGAGGGTGCATGATCCGATTCATCCATCTTAAGAACATAGAAATCCGCTGGAAATATCAAATGATTAACTTGTACCAAAACATCTTCCAAAACTCCCTTTGGATAGGCATTAGATCTATCGGCCAATTATATGATAATACCATCATTTTTCAATACTCCTAAGTTCATAGATGCATAAATGGAATATAGCATAACATTTATAGAAGCACCTAAATCAAGCATGGCAGATTCAAATTTAGTGTTACCAATGACGCAAGGAATGGTAAAACTACCCGGATCTTTGCATTTGGGAGGTAGTTTGCGTTGCAAGATGGCGGACACATTCTCACCTACCTTTACCACTTCCTTAGTCGACATCCTTTTCCTAGTGGTGCACAACTCCTTCAAAAACTTGGCGTACCTCGGGACTTGCTTGATTGCATCCAACAAAGGTATGTTTACTTGAACTTTCCTAAATGTCTCAAGGATGTCCTTTTCAGCTTCCTCCTTCTTTGTTTGCATAAACCTACTAGGAAAAGGAACATTCAAAGGAAAAACATTAGTAGGAACCAAATTTGACATATTCTTACCTTTATTGGACAAATTGGACAGTTTAAGGGCATTGGAGACTTGCGGAAAAGGTACTTCCACCTTTGCCGTGGGTTGATTTGATTCCACCTTTGCCGTGGGTTGATTTGATTCCACCTTTGCGGAAAAGGTACTTCCACCTTTGCTTGGAGAAACTTATATTATGAAAAACTGAGTTGATAAAAACAGATTATTGATTAAAAACTTTGGGCTTTTGCAGGTTGCAATCAAGACATACAAGGCGGCCTTATTTCCTCTAAGACGTGCAAGGCAAATAAAGAAAAAACTGGATCCTGCAACCAGCAGCAGATTCATTCATTGACATCAACCACAGCAGTTCTAAGACTATCATATTGCAGAAAATTTAAGCAGTTCAAATCAATCGAATTTAACTCAGAGGACAGTCAAATTAGACAAGCAGTTAACTCCTATGCATGTTTCTAAGCACAGTCACAGTAAACAGCAGTTATAAAGTGAGTTTTCAGAAAGCATACCAGGGCAATTCCGATGACGCTTATGGATTTGGATATCCAGAAACAACAAATTACAATCAAAGAGAGAAGGAAAGTTAGAAAATAATTGTGAGTGATTAAAACAAAAGGCTCACTTAGCAGCTGAAAGGTGTGTTTAGAACTGCAGGTCCCGGAAAGGAATTCGTAGTGAGCTTGACTTGATCAGACAAGGCAGTATGCTCTCTCTTCAAATCCTAGAGCATGAGAACAAAACCAAAAACTCTTGGTGAATTTGTCGAAAGATTCAAAACAGAAAGAATATACAAATGCTTCCAATCACTTGGTAGTCAAATCAGTGATCTTCTGGAAAACTGGAAGAACTATCTGACATGGAGAACCTTGTTGAGTCCGTTCGACGCGCTACTCTCACCAATCAAATCAGAATCTCACTCGACGAGTTTGGTAGCAAATCTGGAGTACATTCTGAAAACAATGATATAGTAAGAGCATGACTTCAACGACCCCCAAAAAATTTCTGTTTTCTTACAACTCAACTACTCAATTGAAATTCACAATGTAACAGTTTAGTTGAAAAGTTTCCCAATTTCTTTTAGAAAATTAAAGATTAAAAAACCAAGAATTGCAGAAATTACCGACCTTTGTCGCTCACGTCACTGTCCAACTGGGTTGTAATCGCCCTAGGGTTTTAATTTTTAACTCTGCAGAAAAAGAGGGATGAAATCAAATCAGAAAACAAAATTAAAACTATAAGAAGCAGTAATAATCGAATCCGAACCTCGAATTCAACATTTTCTTGTAATTCAAAAAATTAAAAAGTGGGCAAATTGAATAAAATAAAACGAAAACAAGAACCTGCTTCAGATGTCGAAGAGGGCTTGAAGTCTTTGCAATTTTGGGGGAATATTTGGATCGTTTGACAAGAAATAATTGAATCAAAAACAAGAAATTAAATAAAAAAACAAGAAATAATTGAAGAGAGATAGAGAGAGAGGACAATCACAGCAAGAATGCGAGTTCTAGAGAGAGAGAGGGTTGTGAATTTTAGGCGAAGAAGATCTCAGAGAGCTAGAGAGAGAGAAAGAGACCGTTTGTTTATAGGACCGGGGGGATTTGTGAGGGTAGTGTTTTGATTGGATTCAAGTTTGAATTGAGTGAATCTGAGCCGTCGGTTTAAATGGAAAGGAAGCTCTTTCTTTCTAACGGCTATAAAGAATTTTATCGGTGGACCACTTCGAAATGGGCCAATAGTCCCCAGTCGGTGAGAAGGCAAAACGACGCTTACTTTCACGTCGTCCGTTCAATATGATGCAACATTCACGTCGTTTACCAGTAGAACCAATTGCAAAAATTATATTAGGAAGATCAACTTTTAAATTATATTTTTGAAGTGATTATTGATGATTATGTTATTACTTAAGTGTTGATTAATATACTTATTTTTTAATGGTGACACGTTATATTATTTGTAAATTTAGTCTAAAAAATTGGTTTACATAGTAGAGTAAATTGTAGTAATGGTCTCTCAACTTTAATCAAATTTGAGCAATGGTCTCTCAACTAAAAATCCATTACCATTGGTTCCTCAACTCATCAAAATGTGTAGCTATGGTTCTTTTCGTCAACTTCGTTAAAATTTTGTCAAAATAAGTTATATTGGAAGGACCATTGCTATAATTGGGGCCTTCAACTCATCAAAACGTGTAGCTATAATCCTTTTCGTCCACTTCGCCATAATTTTGTCAATATAAGTTATGTTGGAAGGTCCATTGCTACAATTGGGTTAAATTTGAGGGACCATTTCTCGAGTTGGATTAAAGTTGAGAGATCAATGGTAATGAATTTTTAGTTAAGGAACCATTTCTCAAATTTGATAAAAGTTGATGGACCAATGGTGATGGATTTTTAGTTGAGGGACCGTAACTGCACGTTTTAATGAGTTAAAGAACCAATGGTAATGGATTTTTAATTGAGGGACCATTGTCTAATTGAGTTAAAGTTAAGGGACCATTGCCCAATTTACTCTTACGTAGTATTACTCAATTGCATATACACTTTGAAGTGTAGTTCTACTTTCCAATAAGGCGATAAACGTTCTAATTTTCTCACATTAGTATCCTCAAATACAAAACATAAGCTCCACGCATGCTACATAAACAATTAACGAAAGCCTATGAAATTAGTTAATGTACAAAACCGGAGGTCTTGGAACAACGTAAATCCGACCGTGAATCTGCAAGAAATATAAATAACACAAGATGTATCGTGGTTCACCCTAATGTTTAGGTTACGTCCACACTGATTATTGTATTCTGAGAGGATTGTGAGAGAGAGCTTCTGAAAGTGACAGGGCCTAGGAATTGGCATCTCCCCATTGTGAGGGTGAGGAGTCCTTTTATAGAATAAGGGCTCCTCACTTATTACATATTTTCCCCTTCCTTTATTACATAATTACATTTAAGTCCCCCGAGTATTTGTACGAGATCTAAATACGGAGACCCTAAGTATGGTATAAATAGTAGTCCCCCAAGTCTTCAGTCAAGAGAGTCTTTTGGCTGGAGACTTGAAATTCAGTCCATGTGTGGTCCGAAGTAACTAGATGTTGTCTTGAACTGATGCTTGATATGAGGCGGTGCCCAATCTGACATGATGCTCAACTAGAAGTAGCACATGTTGCGAGGCTGCTCGGCTTGTAGCTTACGTTGCCTTGGTTGGCTCGGCTTGTGACGTTGAAGGTGAGGGAGTTCCTTTTATAGAATAAGGGTTCGCTCCTCAATACATGAATGATGGGCTAAAGTTTATGCTCTCTAATGATGGTGAAGGAGTCCCTTTTTATAGAATAAAGGATCGCTCTTCAATACAAAAATGATGGGCTAGAGTCCCCCAAGTATTTTTCATGAGTGCTCTATAATGAAAGTGAGGGAGTCCCTTTTATAAAATAAGGGCTCGTTCCTCAATGCATAAGTGATGGGCTAAGTCCCCCAAGTATTTTGTATTTTTCATTAGGCCCAGTTGAGGCCCAATATATGGTACATCATGTAGTCTCCCAAGTCTTCGATCAATAGAGTTTGTTGGCTGGAGACTTTAGATTGAATCCATGTGTGGGCCGCAGTGGCGGTTGTTCGGAGGCGGTATTTGTATACCCTGCACTGAAGCTTTGTAAGTGAAGCTTTGCAAGTGAAGTTTTGAAGCTGGAGCTCTGCAGATGAAGCTTTTGAAGCTAGAGCTTTTGTAAATGAAGCTTTGGAAGCTGGAGCTGTGTAAATGAAGCTTTTGAAGCTAGAGATTTTGTAAATGAAGCTTTTGAAGCTGATTGACATGAGTGATGTTCATGGATGTTGACATGAGTGATGCTCACGAATGTTGACATGAGTGATGCTCATGAATGTTTATGTATGATTGACATGAGTACTCATGAATGTTTATGTATGATTGACATGTGTAATGCTCATGTATAATTTAAAGTACTGTGCGTACTTTTGATCACCTGGTTGGTGATAATAGCGGCAGGCTGCCGAATAATTTTGGAGTACTGGGCATACTTTTGATCACCTGGTTAGCAATAATAGCGGAGGGCTGCTGAATAATTTGGAGTACTGGGCGTACTTTTGATCACCTGGTTGGCGATAATAGCGGCGGACTGCCGAATAATTTTTTGTAGTACTGGGCGTACTTTTGGTCACCTGGTTGGTGATAATAGCGGCAAGGTGCCGAATAATTTTTGTAGTACTGGACGTACTTTTGGTCACCTGGTTGGTGCTATTTTGGGCTTATAGGCCTTTGCCCTCCACACAACATTGCAGCCCATTTATTTTGGGCTTTGCCCTTTTTTTTTTATTATTACCCTCTGATGAGGTTTATACAGATGTCTCCGAAAGATAAGAAAAATAAATCACATCATACAAAAACAAGCAAAGTAAATCACATCATTCTGGTGGGGTGTTTATTCCTTACTTTTGCTTTCTCTTTTGCTTTCTGCTTTTGTTTTCTGCTTTTGTTTTTTCTTCTGCTTTTGCTTTCCCCCATCTTGAGATGATGGGCCACGAAAGCTGGTAGCAGAGACTGTCCGTAACCCGAATAATCATACTCTACCAAGTTGACTCGGAGGTAGAGACTCAGCTCACTGGACAACTCGTACATCTGACCCAGATCATCTATGTTCCTATGCGAGTGCAGAACAGTGAGCTTTATTTCTGGTCTCTGGCACCAAGGAAGTACACAAGGCAGTTCTTCGCAGAGCTGCTTTAATGGTTGCCGCAGGCAATTATGGTCAGGAAAATCAGCGAACTTGTAGAATGAGGCCACCACGAGAATCTCATTACTCATTATTCCCCGTATCTCCTGCTTTCGCTCCGTAACCAAAGCTTGAGTCTTCCTCTGCATCACTAGCAGCACGTTGTGCCACGTGTTTACTCTCGAATTCACCTTTTCGTACAACCCCCACATTCACGTCCTGCAAATCCCGAGTCTCCACTGCCAAAAACTCACCCGCCTTTGCACCGTCGAGCATCCAAATCAGGCACGAGCAGAACCCCTTCGAGATCTCTGAGTCGTTGTCCGCCTGGAACCTAATCTTCCCCGCCTTGTCCATCTCCGCCTCTGCTGCTACTCTCTTAGCCAAAGCCACTATTTCCACCGCCGGAGGCAAAAGAGGAAGTGGAGCTACCGACGCACTCTAAACGGCGCCGTAAGAACAGGCCAACGACGCAGACACTGTGACAAATTCGGAGTGGAGCGACATGACAATACCGTCACTGTGACAATTTGACAAACTGACAATAGAATTGAATGCAGTGGTTGTGGTGGTGGTTGTTACAATTGCAGAGAGAGACTGAGTGAGAGAGGAGGTGGCTCCATGGGTTTTCTGGAAAAGTTTTAGATTCTTGGTTTCTGCAGATTCACGGCGGAGGTGAAAAAATGAAAGAAAACCGACATAGCTTTTCGTGTCATTTCCCACAGACGGCGCCAAATGTTGATGCACAAAACCGGAGGTTTTGGAATAACGTAAATCCGACCGTGAATCTGCAAGAAATGTAAATAACACAAGATGTATCGTGATTCACTCCAATGTTTGGGCTACGTCCACACTGATTATTGTATTTCTGAGAGGATTGTGAGAGATTGCTTCTAAGGGTGAGAGGGCCTAGGAATTGGTCTCTCCCCATTGTAAGGGTGAAGAGTCCTTTTATAGAATAAGGGCTCCTCACTTATTACATATTTGCCCCTTCCTTTATTACATAATTACATTTAAGTCCCCCGAGTATTTGTACGAGATCTAAATACGGAGACCCTAAGTATGGTATAAACAAAATTATACGCATTAGAGCAAGTCCACCCCTAAGGACTTTGTGTCAGCACCCAGCCCATTTATCCACTTCAGTGAACAGTAACAGACTCCAATAAACAGTAATAGGCCAATGCATCTCCGCCCCTAAAAAAATGCATTGGTACAAACGATCTCCACCCCTACAAAATGCACTGGCACCCAGCCCATTTAAAATATTTTTAAATTTTTTCTAAAAGAATAAAAAATAAAATAGTTTTAATTTCGGATAGGATTTTTAACCAATCTCGTCACGCCACATGACATCTTCAATGAGCTTCCATGAAGACATTTTTTTCTCTTAAAGTGTAGAAAATATTGAAATGTAGATAGTATAGAAAGTGTAGAAAATATTGAAATATGGTGTAAGGTGGAAGATGAGGGTTAGGTATTTATAGAAAAAAAAGATAACTTTTTTAAAATTTTACTATATTTAAAAAAAAAATTCTCTATTTTTTTTATATTTTTAATTAATTTTAATGTAGTTAATTAATCTGGACTGTTGGATTTGAAAAATATTCAAATCCAAGAGCCCAGGATCTGCCACGTGGCCAACGGTCATAAATCTGACCGTTAGACCATTTTTTTTTGGGATAAAACGTGGACCATTGATCTGTGATAGAACGGTCCAGTTTAAAAGTAAAATTTAAATTTTTGTTACCGTTGGAAATCCAACGGTCTAGAAAAACTAGCTGTTGGAAATCGAACGGCTCTAAGCGAACCATGTTGCTACAGCATAAATGGGCTGACAGCGCCTGCCGGCTTGTCTCCTACTCGCTGCCAAACGCGCATGCAGTCCACGCGCCAGCCAAATAGGCCGACT